ACCGCCACGACTACTACTACTACTACCACCACCACTACCACTGCTACTGCTACTGCTACTACCACTGCTACTGCCACTGCCACTGCTACTGCTACTGCTACTTCTACTACCACCACTACCACCACCACCACCACCACCACCACCAAGTGTTATACGTTTGTAACTCTGCCGCTTGAAGATCCTCCGCTCGGACGGGTGCGGAGAACCCGGCCAAAGGGAGTGCCAGGGAGGTGGCGAGGCCGGCAAGGCCCTCCTTAGGGTTTAAGATTTAGGGTGTAGGGCTGTTCGAAGTCTTCGCTTCGTGACCACCATTACCATCTGCTGATTGATGAATTTTAGGCTCTTGGCGTTGTTGCTACGTCAACTGCTGCAACGACGATGCCGACGACGACGAAGACGAAAACGAAGAAGACCAGTGCCACTGCTACCGCTCCCACAAGAACTTCTTCATGCTATGCCTGGTGTTCTTACCGTGGTCAAAATTCTTGACTCGTGTTAATTCCCTGAGAATGACGTCAACACTGTCCTTGTGACTGCAAGTAGTATTGCCGTTATCACCTTCCTGAACAATGATACTGAATGCGCTGGCACGGTTCAGAGCAAATGTTGGGAGATTCCGGATTGAATGTTCATGGTGCATGGCTCTGGAAATGGTCTGAGCAATGTGGTGGTGCCTGGCGGCTGCTCCGCAGTTTCGATCTCAGAAAGCATCCATAATACATACTATAATGCATGATCTACGGTATATAGTATATAATAATATATAATGCAATGTATAATGTACAATCAATCAATATACATACATACATACATACATACATACATACATACATGCATATATATATATACATATATATATGTGTGTGTGTGTATACATATACGAACTTTAATTTCGCGCTACAATGTGCTTGTGGTCCAAAAGAACAGGTAGACGCTCAACCGACTGTTTGCGCGAAACTGTGTGGCAAGCCTCCACAAATCTCAAGTTCGAATCGGAACGGCTCACCACTGAGGAGCGTTCAAGACAGGAAGGGAAACCTCAAGATCCCCCTAAACCCCAAACCCTAAACCTAATTAGGCCCTCCCCTGACCTTCGGATTTGGGCTTCTGAAACCTTACTATGATGACGATCTCGAGACGGCGAGATTGCTGCAGCAACACTCGCAGCATTGCGCAGCCACGGTCATCGTCCCAGTGCCAGAAATGACAACTACTGGTAACTAGTAGCATCACTGCTTCGACTGAAGTTCTGTTCAGTTCATCACCAGCCGAGGCACTCTTCGACTCGGCGCAGGAGCTAGCACGCCCTCGGCTTTCAGGGCCCCAGAGAGCAGAATCGTCACCCGGAGGCCCGCAAGAGGCAGTGCAGTAGCCCTGAAATACATGCACCTCTGGAGTCCCATCAATCAAGAACAGCGTAAAATCTGAAGTCCCATCAAGAACAGCGTAAGAATCTCACCCTCGCAAAGCAGCGAAAGTCGGGCCTCTTCGGTCCGTGCCATCGCCGAGTCCCCCGGTGAGAGGAAGGCGGCCTTCAAATGCTTCGAACCTGCAAGTGGGTTCCAAGGTTTAGGAGCTCAGGGCTTGCAGGTCCTTGTCTTTAACAGACAATATAGCTTATAATGTTATGTGTCTATATATATATATTATGCAATAGGTAGAATCTTCTATATAAAATATCATACATCGTTTATAATATGCGAACTAGGGAAGGCTGCGCGAGCAGTGGTTTCGGATTTAGCTGCTGCAGTAATCAGGAAGCTGTGAAAGGGCATTCGATGAGCGGGCCAAGGGTGGAAACACACGCTTAAGCCTAAGGAAGTTTTTGGCAACGCGAAAGGATTGCTCGAAAGAGCTTTTGGACAGGGTTGAATCCGGCGAATAAACCAAATGGTTCTGCCTGTTTAACCCCTGCATAGTTCTAACATAACATACTCAAAAATCCTGTTCTCTTTATTTAAAGCCCTTGTGTTTTTTAAGAATACGGCCTCCTTCGGCTTCCGCCTGCTAAATAAAGCAAGATATAGAAAGCTTCGGCGACTTGCTCAAGGCTAGAGTTCCGGGTCTGAGGTTTAGGGATAGGACTAGGTTATCTTGACAGCTCGCCACCAACAGAGACTTGACGGCCTTGAAGCGTCTGCATGTCTCGCCAGCCTGCAAGTCCGAGGTAAAGAGCCAGGAGAGTGCCGGCCATTGCCACAACCTCGCCGCTTAGTTGCACGCACGTTGAGGGGCCGTCGATGCGTGGGTTTGGGTTCCTTTGGGTTCCTCACAACTCCTGAAAATGACAACAAAGAGTGGAAGGTTCGCAAGCAGCACCTGTGAGCGGGTCACTGACTAAGCCGGCATTAACTTCATGAACTTGAGTGCCTTGTTCTTAAACCTCAGTTTTTGCTGTGGCCCGTGCCAGTCGTAGGGGCCGAGGACTTCGCTGTCGCGCAGGCGCCATGGCTGCAGCGGGGAAACGTGGCATGGCCGTCTGAGCTGGGGTCCAGTTGCGGATTTGAGTCAAGACAAGTCAGGGCTCTCAAAGCTCACCTCTGCACGAAGTGTCAGTGGAGCCGCCGGGTTGAGTTGGATGGATGATTTCCAAATGAAGCCGCGCGTGTGTTCCTGGATGCTTCCTGCTTGAGATGCGTGGGCGTTAGAGCCGCTGGACATTAGCCGAACGGTCGCGATCGAGCTTACGGCAGGGACCTGGTCGGATTGGGCTTTCAGCTCTGCAGTTCAATGGATGCTGGTATTCTGCCTGCTGAGCCTTTGCCAGGGCAGCCATCGCCACGTCGTAGGCCTCGTCGGAAGCCTGGCAGGGCGAAGTTGCGGTTCGGCCGGGACTGATCATGTCGCTCTCGTGGACCCAGGTCGCGAGTGCTGGGCGTTAGGCATGCACTCAACATCTGCAGTCTTTGCCTCGTTCGCCAACTTGGCATCTACCTCCTTCCAGAGGCCCTCCTTGGGCTGCACTTTGCTAACCTTCGGGAAGACATGCTCAGTGCTGAAGCTCGGCCTTTAGGGCTCTGGGGCTTAAGGATGTGAAGCTGCTTGGGATGCAACGTAAAGACTTACGGGAACGGGATACAGCAAGACCTTTTTGCTACTGACGCCTAAAACTATAGCTAGATCAAGCCTTTAAGTAGCATGCACCGTAACCCTGAACCCTGAACCCCTAAACCCCCTTCACAAATGCAGCAGCCTGAGCGGACGGGAGCTTCAGCGTTTCCGCCCTGGGCTGGCGAGCAAGGAGAGGCCGACAACACGTGCGATACTGTGCTATACATCTATCTATCTATCTATCTATCTACCTATCTATCTATCTATCTATCTATCTATCTATATATATATATGTGCATACATATAATACTCCATAAATACGAACATATATATATATATATGCATATAAGTATATATATATAATATATAATATAATACTGTGAAAAATACATGTACATATAACACACCGTTTACTCGATCTTCACCGCTCGAAAACTCGCTGAACAGCCAGCGCTCGCACACAGACTGTTTGTGCGACCGCAACGTGGGAGTCGGCCACAGATCAAAACTCGAACATTTCTGATCTTCATCATAAAGAACGGATGCTCCGATCACCGGAGGGGCGCGCCAGACAGCTGGCGATCGCTCCACATTCATCCGAAGGAAAATATCAGACGAGATATTCCCCGCGAGCAGAAGCAGAAGCTGCGTGAGCAACTAGATCATTCTGAGGAGCGAAATTTGCTCGTCGAGTTGTCGAAGTAGAAAACGGCCGAAGATCGGCTGGCTTCGCTGTCGGTTTTGGCCGAGGGGCACCATCAAATTGGTAGACAGATCTACCCCCCCACGGACCGCCTTTAGGCACATGAATGCTCTTGGGAGCTTTCGGCACGGCAGGATCCGCCGGGTGAGCCGCAGCATCACGATATTTTTGAGCTGTGCACGGCTGGATCAGGCTGGATCCAGCTGAGCATCAGCGTCCCTGTTGCGATAAGCAGGCGGGGTGACCCAAGGCACCCCTCGACGGAAGTAGCACAGCTCCATGCGACGATCGCAGGCTGCGCACAGGGGAGTCGACTGACCCTGAGCCAGTTTTCAGAAGGCACGCCAGGCACGCGATCGGCCGCAAGGCAGAAACCCCGAGCGGGCGGACCGTCACAGAGTAGGTAGCTTGAAGACACACAGCAGGAGCTTCCAGTATCAGATCCCCCGAAAGATCAAACGGGAGTGGGCCGGATCGAAGATCCGGGCCGCTCGGCTGCGCCACGGACAACATGATCACGGCTGTTCTTACGATCTGTAAACTGAACTCCGACTTCCTACCCACCAGACCGAAAATTAGGAGACCAGTTTACTCGATCTTCACAGTCGCAAACTCGCTGGACAGCCAACGCTCGCACACAGACTGTTTGTGCGACCGCAACGTGGGAGTCGGCCACAGATCAAAACTCGAACATCTCTGATCTTCATCATAAAGAACGGATGCTCCGATCACCGGAGGGGCGCGCCAGATAGCTGGCGATCTCTCCACATTGATCAGACCTAGCTACTATCTGTCTTCCTATCTATCTACCTACCTATCTATCTATCTATCTATCTACGTGTCTACCGTACCTGTGCACCTATCTGCCTATCTACCTATCATCTGATGTATCGACCTATCGATCTGCAGTCATAGAATCATAGAAACCGAATGAAGACGCCTGTTGCCAGTGTTTCTGCGACCTCTCAACACTAACTTCAACAACCTGTCCCGCTAAAATCTGGTCGTGAAGCATTCCCCCACATGATGATGAGTATGCGGATTATACCAGAACAAGCTTAGGCTTAGGCTGTCTCGAATCGAATGGTGCCCAACACCACATTTCCAACTACGCACCACGTCACCAGAAGCCTACGAAAGTCAAAAGAAAATGGGGCAAGCACGGTCCATAAGCAAATTCCATGGACGCAAAATACTCATGCTTGTTGCACTGTCCACTCTGGGCCCTTTTTTTTACCGCACCTCCAAAACACATGCAAGCCCAAGGGCGAAGTTATTCCTCGGGCATCAAGAGGAAGGACAAGCAAACTCCCAAGATAATACATTACGGGAGAGGCCAGTTCAACATCAAGCGGCATTGCTTGCAGCGCATCTCCTGGACCCCGCCTGTCAAACAGCGCAAAGCCAAGAGATGGTAGTGTTTATTTCCGGGAGGCTTTCGTCTGCACTTGGGGAAACCTTCTTCACTGGCGCAGTAGCTTGTCGAACCATCCGTGGTCAATTTTGAAGGCCCTCTTCTGCATTCATGATGATTTTGCGGCGCGACCAGGGTGCTCGTGCCATGATCGTCCTGCTGGGCCGCGTGCCTCCATGGGTGCATGGACAGGAGAAAGGCCTTGCAAAAAAGTGTTTCGCATTGCTTCAAGCAGCAAACATCAGCAAAGAAATAAATCAAGCACGACACTGCTACTGCTACAGGAATTAGAGGAGAGATCTGTTGCGGCTAGTCTTGTAGGCAAGGACTCATCGTCTCGAAGACATCCAGACGAAGCGCCTCGAATCTATCACTTGGCCGCACCATGTTTGCACCTGGGAGCCGGTTCATGACAGCTGCAGCCATTGAAATCGCAAGACCTACTTGGACATTGGCAACCCCCCGCCGCAACAACAATAACAGACCGCGCGCTTGAGATCCGAACCGCTCGGCTCCGACGCGCAGTCGCCACAATCCGCTTTGCGCAGCTGACTGCGGCTGCAATGTGAGCCCAGATCAGCAACGCATGCGCACGTGATTTAGGGGATGATCTGCCAGTTCAGGCCAACTTGCACCTCCTAAAAACCAGAATACAACAAGAAACACGATTGCTGTCGAGCTTGACCCCTGGTCTCACAGCGATCCAACATGCGGCAGTGGCCCAACCTCCCCCGTAGAAGCGACAAGCAACAGCATCGCAAGTACTTGTGCCTCACACTGTGGCTCTCAAGTCGTGTCGAAGACAAAAGGAGGCGTGTTACCATTCCCTTTGTCACTACCATTGTTTACAGTCACCAAGAGGATCTGCAGGGGGATCGCTGGTGCGCTGAAGTGTCCATCCTTGATTGCTGTGTTCAGCGTCACTGCACTTCTTGACCCCAACAGGTTGGTGATGGCTGAAAGAGTTGCCATTGCCCAGGACAGTCAAGCACCATTTGTCAGTTTGCTGCTCGTCGCTGAGCTCTATGGTACCGATGCCTGGATGTTCTCCAGAACTGATGTACGACCACTGCTGCTGCGATTTCGAATTCGAGCATGCTCTGATGCTGACTTTTGCTTCAACAGCGGTCAAACAATGGTCACCGCCACGATGGCCTTTTCCACACCATGGCTTGACCCCACCGTCCTCGCTCAGGTGTTGGGGCATAAGGCGCACACGGCATCCATGGTAAATGGTAACTAAACAAGTTTCAATACTCGTGGTGAGCTAGAGAAAGAAGGTGAGCAGTTGCATGGGTGTCATGCAGATGTCATACAGGGGTAGCCCACTGCACTCGAAACATCAGTCCCCTGAACATGAGAAGCAGATTCCCATCCATGTTGACAACACGCCTTCAGAACACTATCTATCGGAACCTACCTACATAACGACGCGACCGTCCTCGAAGAACCACACTTGGTTGCGAAGAGCCTCGTCATTGCTTTGCTGGCAGGGAGCGAGCTCCAGTTGACCACTCAACAGTCCGTTGTGTAGATCGACGCACCACTTCTTGTCAGAAGCGAGACGCACCTGGCGTCGGCCATGTGCACTGTGCGAATCGCCATCGCATATAAGGGCTAAGTGGTCGCTGAGATGGCCTCCCGGCAAAGTGTCACCAGAACTTGGGGGGTTATAGAGATATTCCAGAGACGTCTTGCCGGTTGTTCTCACGCTGCAGCCGAATGGGTGCGACCGATTTCGGATGTATTGAGGATACTGGCGGCTCCAGGCCCATGCGGCCTTTTTGCACTCCAGATATCCAAGGGCGTAGAAGCTCCTATCGGAGTCACGGCAGCCATCCCTTGTTAGGGGCCAAGTGCTCATCGCATTGAGGATGCGGGACCGGAAGACGGGCGCCTTTTCAGTGAAGTCTCTCATCTTCTGCGTGTGCTGACACACCTCGGAGCAACTTGCAGGCGGGGGATCCACGACGGGTCTACACACCCACCACATGCTCGGTATACAGACATAGTGTTCTACATGCATACAAACCTATGTAAGTTGCGTAAGTATGTATGTACGGGCAGTTCATCTAGTACTGCACCGCACACACACGTATGCAAGACTTGCAGACAAAGGTTGCACCTAGCATAGTATAGTGTAAAGACAGATCGGCATATGCACTGGCTCTCTCCGACCTCCTGGGCGGGAAAGTCGGGCATGGAAAGGGCAGCCGTCTCAATGGCCCCGGCCACATCCGAGCTGTACATCTGCCCGAGCTGGGCCACCTGAGAACAAACGTCGAAACAGCCGGGTTTCAGCGAGTTTCGACCGCGAACTTCCTTTGGGGACATCATGGGGCATCATCCCTGCATGCGCAGTCTTGCAGGTCACGGTCATCCTTTCGTTTGACCTGGGCCTCCCACCCACACTGTATTTGAAGGCTGGGAACGCTGCAAGCGGTGCCAAGTAACCGAACTCGAGGTGTGCATCTACGAAAATCAGGCAAATCCAATCTGAGCTGACGGCCCATTGTTGGCAGATGGCCTGCCAGCATGGCGCAACTCCCGACTCTCCTTCACATTGCTGTGACATCCGTTAGCTCACGGTGAAAAACAGGAACGAGATGGAACGAGCATTCTGCTCAACCCTCTGCAGCCGCGCAGCAGAAGGGAGTCGATGGCGCTGTCCGCAGACAGAAACCAAAAAAGTGGTTCGCACACCCCAAAACGAAGCCACAGACAACTAGCTAGATGCATATGGATTGACATGAGACACTTCACACGCAGCTCTTTTCCCACAGAGCGAATTCTGAATAAAGGCCCCTTGTTCGAATTTTCTCTCTCTCTCTATGATGTTCGTAGGCAGCCAGCCTGCTGGGACAATCAGTACTTCGCACAATCACAAAGGAACAGACACCGCTAAGGGCTAAGAGTTCCCGGACAGCTTGCTGGTAAGAGCATTGCTGGCATGAGATTCCTCTTCAGATCCATGCACATGATGCACTTGTGTATGTCTGGAGAAAGGAGAGAGCCAAAGAGAGAGAAAGAGAGAGAGAGAGAGAGAGAGAGAGAGTGCGCGAGAGCGAAAGAGAGAGAAAGAGCGAGAGAGCGACAGAGAGAAACTGAGGCAGAGAGGTAGAGAAACAGAGAAAAAGAGAGCCAGAGAGACAGAGCGTCAGAGAGATACAGAGAGAGAGAGAGAGAGAGAGGGAGAGAGAGAAGCAATCAAAGCTTAAACGAAGAAAGCAACGCTCATGCAGTAGCCGCCTACTTATCAGCGCACGTATCTGTGCACCCGCTTCATTCCGTGTACTTACGCAGTGACAGTGACTGGATGCATCGTGCCTCGCTCGTCGGTCTGTCATCCACCCAGGTCCAAATTCCAAAGCAGCGCGCCAAGGTTCGGTCAATCACCTGGAACTAGCACTACAACGATTGGTAGCATGGGCGAAATGAAACAGTAGCAGTAGTAGTCGTCGTCGTCGTCGTTGGACATTATTGTTGGCGGTGATCGTCCTGCTGCTGCTGCTGCTGCTGCTGCTGCTGCTGCTGCTGCTGCGGCTGCTGCTGCTGCTGCTGCTGCTGCTGCTACTGCCACTGCTACTGCTACTGCTGCTGCTACTGCTACTGCTCAGTAGCAGTAAAGTAGTAGCAGACTGGTAGCAGCAGCAGCGGAAGCAGCTGCTGTTGTTGTTGGAGCAGTAGTGGAGTAGTGGCGGTGGCGGTGGTGCTGGAAAAATGCATGGTACCAGTATCAGGGGTACTAGTAACCCTAAACCCTAAACTCTAAACCCTAAATAGCAGATCCGATCCAACCCAGGGCGTTTGGCGTCCCGACGGCCTCAATGCGAAACCTTCTATCAAGCCTAAGCTGTCCAGGAACCCTGCCGCATCGAAACCCTAAACCCGAAACTTGAAACTCGAAGCCCCAAAATCACACCCTAAACCCTAAACCCAGAATCCGACATCCAGCCTTCCAGTTGGAATTCTTCACGAAGTCCAAGCTCTCTCGCCAGCCGTCTGGGCCCAAGCCGGAAGAGCCGCCAGTCCACACCTTCAGGCTTTGGGGAGTCAGGGTTTCAGGGCTTAGGAAGTTTAGGGCATATAAGGGTTTGGGGTTCGGGGGTTCCGGCATTGAGGTTTGGCTTTTGGGGATCTTGTTGCGGCATTTGGTATCGGGTTCACCCTTCAGACCTGCTCCACTCGGATGTGCGAATTGCTGGCTGCCTCTTGCTCCAGCTTCCGCGAGCCGTTAGAGTTGTGACTGTGCGTCGAGTTCCCATCCTGATCTTCACCCGCATAGCCTCCGCCCAGCTGGAAGGCGTCAAAAATCGCAGATGCACCGACGCCACCGCCACGAGCATGTGCCGAAACATCATCAATGGCTTTGCTGAGCATATCTGAGACATCATCCTTGTCGGTTGCTTCTCTGCTTGCATAAAGGGCCGTGATCGTCCAGCGCCCACCCAGGACCACTTGAGGGCACACATGCGAGCCATAAGTCCAGAGGAGTTCCTGTATGCTATCGAAGTTGGAACAGTTAGTGTCTTCAGACCGGCACAACTCCTGACTGATGGCAGCAACAGCCGTGCTGAAGCTTCTGGAAGGCACCAGCATGAAGTGATCAAGATTAATTCGAGCTTTGGGCTCTTCGTAGCACTTCATCTTTTGACGTGATTTCACCTTGTCCCGTTGCTGATGTCCATGCTCGCTTCTGTTTTCTGTCGCGTCGCCCGTCGACTCTGTACCCGACCAATGACCGTTGGTATTCACCGAGAAGATCAGAGGCATCCCACCACCTGCTGAGATCGAATATTATATTATATTATACTATACTATATTATATTATATTATCTTGTATTACTACTATACTATACTATATGATATTATATTACATTATATTATCCCACCACCTGCTGAGATCGAATGCTGCCAACTCTTCGAGTGAAAAGAGCTCGTCCCAAAGGCTTCCAGCCTCGTGGAGACTTTTTGCATGTCGGAGACGGCCTTCGGGTTTAGAGCTTAGGGCTTAGGGTTCAGGGTTTAGGGCTTAGGGTTAAGGACGGCCTCCGTTTCAACGGTGAACTCACGGGCAATGTCCGGTGCGACCTGCAGAGCTCGTCGCAGCTGCTCATCATCCATGCTGGCCAGCTCGGGAGACAGGGACACCACCTGGGAGTGCTGGCCCAATGCCATCTCGTCAGCAAGGAGGTCGACTCCTCGAAAGACACCCATGTGATGCAACAGTCCTACCATGGGCAAGTTCATCCCACCCAAATAGCCAGAACTCTCGGTGAGTTGGGACATCTGTTTCCGGATGTCTTCCATGCTTGTGTCGGATGCATCCAGCTGCAGCTTCTCGAGCCTCTGGGCCATCTCCTGCTGCAACTTCTTTGCCTCTTCTTCTAGTCCTGTTCGGCTTGCTTTAGCTTCGGAGCGTGCCGCTTCGTAGAAGGCCTTCATCTGCTCCTTGGTGTCCTTGTTCTTGGCCTCAAGTTCCTGCAGCTTCTTGCTGAGTTCCTCCTTCCTGGCTTTCTCCCCCTCTTGGCTGGATTGCTTCTTCCCTTGCTCAATCCATGCCTTCTGCTGCAACCGAGAGGTCAGCTGCACGTCCTTCGCGGTCGGCATGAGAAAAGGATTCAAAGACATGAGCTGGCTCTGTTCGAAGATCCCATCCTTTCTGAGTTTGTCCAAGAACTGGTAGCGATCGTCGGCACTGTCAAAATGTAGTGTGCGTACATAGCGCAGCAGGTCAGCATTAAAGCCGACCTCATGCTTAAACGTAACCCTGAGCTCAATTACTTTCTTCATCTCACCCACCAGATCAAGGTCTGACTGCTTCTTTTCTACTTCATCTTGCATCCACACGACGCAGCACTCCGCGCGCTTGCCAGGCTCCGGATCCGGGCACTCTTTACACTCGTCGTCCGTCTTCAAGACATTTTGCTCTCGAAGATGCCCCGTTGCCGTCAGCAAGGCCTCAGCCGCATTCTTTGCTGTGAATGGCTCTCCAATCTTCTCACTTGCTGTAGCTGTCTGAAAGAAGGCATGTCGTGGCTTTGTCGTGGTCATCATGGTCGTCGTGGGAATATCAGCTTTCGGAACTTGCAGGGCCACCGAACACTCCTCGTCATGATGGTAGGCAACAGAAAAGTTCGGGAAAGAAGCGAGCAATAGAAAGAGGAGCAGCATGGCGGCTTGCGGCTTGAACTATTGGACCATGTTCGGCTTGTGCAATTGTGGCAACTCGAGCATCAAAGGTTCCACGTTTGTCGGGCATGCGCATTCGAGGCAGAGTGTTCCTGAGGTGCCATGGAAGCATCACGATGTTGATCTAAACAAGCGGAGGGCAAGTTTGCAAGGCCTTCAGAGTAGTGTATCTCGACTTGGACATGTTGATGTACTGCACGCGGATTTTTCCCCACTCGAAGACAACCGTTGAGACCGTTGCCAACACGTGGAGAGGCTGTTTTTGTTGTCTGGCTGCTTGACGCAGACAAACCTGGAGCAAGACTGTAACAGAGATGTGTTCAGCAGGTGCAGAACAAATCCACCGATGTAGTCCGGATTGCTGCGTGTCCGAGGCGGTATCAAGGCCAGCCACCGAATGTTCGTCCCTGTATACGTAGTGACGCGATCAAGCCGGACGAGACTAGCTCTCAAGGTGCCCCCGGTTGAAACCCCCGGACCTGTGCTCCCTTTTTCTCAGGCGCACGTTCAGAGTGCTTCGAAGGCGCCAGCACCTCCTCCACGGCCTCTGATCTTCGGCAGGTCACCGGGGCTTCGGGTGTAGGACTAGGATTATGGGGTATGGCTCAAGCATTCCGGTTTGGGGTTACTTGTGGCTACCCCTGTGGAGAACCTGGTCGGTTTGAAATCCAGAGATGTTAGGGACGCCTGGGATGCGGCTGTCTCGGCCAGGATCGGTGCTGTGGATGTTATCTCATGACATGTCATGGAGAGATCCTGCGACCCTAAACCGTAAACCCTCCTGCACCAATGACAGCAATCGCCCAGCCGAGATCCCAGCCCAGGGAGACGCCTCGGATGTTGCCCTCCAGACCTGCAGGGGTTTAGGGTTTAGGGCGGCTTTGACATTTCCGGGCTCAAGTTGCTTTGGGTCGCGGCAGCGAAATGACGAGCACGGAACGAGCGATTCGTCTGCTAATTACCCTGTGCTTTGCGGCGGCCACTTCGGCCGAAGGTGGATCTCAGAGTCTATATGGCAGGTCAAGCAAGTTGCCCCCTGACCCTACTGTTGTTGCCGGACTGCATACAACTCTGTAGCTAAGTCAGTCAACATATAGGCTTTCAGATGCCCGCCTTACACTGACATGCAATCAAGGACTTGCACATGATGGTCTTGCGGATGAGGGCTTCGGGGTGCCGGCTTCCATTAGCCTAGAGTACAGTGCAACCCTTTGGCTGATGGGGGCAGCTCCATACTTGCAATCCGGCGGCTTCGGCGTTCAGAGTCCAACCCGGAGAGAGGAAGAAATAAAGACAGAGGGAGACAGAGAGAGATCAGTCTGAGCAAACCTCTGCTTTGAGAGACTCCGCGGCCAGACACCACGATAATCTCAGTTTTAGGGTTCGGGTTTAGGGCTTAGAGTTCAGGGCTTAATTAGGGTTTAGGGTATTTATAGGGTTCAAGGGTTAGTGTTTAGGGCTCAGGGGTAATATAGCTACATGGATCGTGAAACCCTATGAGATCTTACAGGCTTCGGGGGCTTTAGGAATCTGGGCTTAGAGTGAGTAGGGCGGAGCATTGAGGTGGGTTCACTATACAATGGCCTACGATAAAGGCCTCATGGATCCAGGGTTGAAGGATGACGTTGTTCTTTTTGCTTTTTTTCCGGAGGGGCCGAGGGTGTTCAGGGTTGCTTCGTTTCGTGATTGAGGCCACTGACTTGAATAGTTATGGTGTAGGCTATTAATATGACATTCAATGGCTATCATGTACATGCATGTTTGAATCTAGGATCTGGAAACGGTGTGCGGATCAATCAACCCCATAGTCACATAGTCGAGGTGCAAGGTGAAATCGAAGTCCAAAACCCGAAAACCTAGGCCCAAAACAACGTAAAGCTTCGAAGTGTCCCTCAACCCAATAAAACCAAAACCCTAAACCCTTAACTGCCCTAACCCGAAGCCTTGGAGTCCGAAAGTGCAGGGGCTCTGCACGAGCAAAGATGTTGCCGGTCTGACATCAGCGCTTCGACCAACACATTTTTGCAAACGGCGCGCGAGTGTTGCTATGTAATGCGCACCACCATGGGCAAAATTAGTTAGCCCAGGTCACGACGGATCCATCGTCAAGAATGGAAGCAAAGGCACACGTTCCTTCAGCTGATCTTGCACCGCACTACTGTCACCACCAAAATCAGCAGGACCCCAGGTCACGACAGATCCATCGCCAAGGATGGCAGCAAAAGCACGGGCAGTGGCTTGGATCTGCTGCACGTTCTTGAGCTGATCTTGCACGGAACTACTGTC